ATCGCATAGGCCGAACTCGACCTGGTGGAGAGCGGGGCACACCGCACACGCCAAGCCTCCGTCCGCAGCGAGCAGTGACGAGGTGGATGTGGAAGCGTCCATGGAAAACGAGGACTAAGGAGGCGCGGGCTTGACGGCAATCAGCATGGTAAGCGAGCGCACGACCACTTTTGGCTTTGCCACGGCGACGACAGGCAAAGCGTCGACAACACAACGAGGCGTCGGGCCACGTGTGATTGGCTGCCTGCAGCTGCACCAAAGCGTGGTGCTGCCGAGCAGCAGCTGAACCAAGCCGGCACCGTGCAGGATTCCTTTTGTTGAACGCGCTAGACCAAGCGGCCGGATGGCCGGCGCATCCGAGGGCCGCGGCGGCATGGCAGGGGCAGGAGCTGCCGGCGGTGGCAGCTGATCCGCGTAGTGATCTCACGTACGGTTGATTGAGTTGGAGCCACGAGATTGACTAGAGGTCTAGAGTAGTGGCTGGAGAAACTCCATGGTGGCACTGGCAGCTGGCAGCGAGCTCACCGCGCTGCTCTACATGCCGATGGCGCACGCTCGCAGCCCTGGCCCCGAACTCTCCGCACCGTCCGCGAGCTCGCCACGCACGCTCGGTGCATCACTCTGTGACGGTCGCGCTCGCTCACCTTGGTCCAGGCCCACGCCGCCCGCTGCGCCGACCGCGATCTCCCCGTGCCACCCTCCGCGCCGGCCATGCGCGCGCACTTGCCACGTCCAGGCCCGCGCTGTCCACACACGCTCGTAGCAGCGCACCAGGCCCATGGCGTCCGCACATGCTCGCAGCGGCACTGGCCGCGAGCTCCAGCGCTGTTGTTTTCACGGGAGAGAACAAACAGGGAAGCCAAACCAAGGCTCATAACGGCTGAGGCCCTTTGATCTTATGATTTCCTGGTAGTAAGTTTGGAACAAAACGAAAATATCTGATCAGTCTATCCGGAGAGTTGCATCGAGTGAAACAATAGTTATTGATGAGCTTATCGCCCGCTCACTTCTTTTCTCTGCCTTATCTTCTTCCTCCTGCCCACCCTCGCCTCCTCCGCTTGCGTCTTCCCCGCCGCCAGCATCGCCTCTCCCGCCGCCTCCACCTCGCTCGGCTCCGGATCCGGCGACGCTGCCCTTGTCTCCGGTGAGTGCCCCTGCCTCCACCACCTCACACCGCCACGCCGCTGGTGGTAGGGTCTCACCGGAGCTCCGTGGCCATGGCCCGTGGCCGCGGAGCTCCAGCGAGACCCTACCGCCGTCCATGACCTCCTTCTTTCCCTCCCCCTCCCGCATGCGGCCATGGCAACCTCCGGCGAACTCCGGCCATGGCTTCCATGCCCCGACCTGACCTGGCCGCCGCTGCTGCCACCAGCTCCCCTAAACCGCCCACCGGCCAACCTCGCCGCGTGACCGACCTTCCTCTCCCCGGCCGGCCCCTTCTAAGGCCGCCAGATTTGGGGAAGAAGGGGTGGCGTGGCTCGCCGGAACCCTAGGCATCGTCGTCTTCTTCACTGGCACCCGCGCGGGCGAGGTCGGGTGCGTGGTGGCGCGTGGGCGTGGCCTCCGGCGGGGGCACGTTGGGGAAGAAGGCGTGGGCGCGTGGGAGCACATCGAACAGCCACACCCCCGCATCAGACGGCGGAGAGGGTCAGTGTGGAAAATCAAATAATTAATTAATAATAATTAAACTAAAAAAGAGGATTTAGGTGAGCAGAGGATGTTCTTTTTTAAAAAAAATTACGAAATGGTGAGCAGAGGATATTTAACATCCGAAGGTATTGTTAGTTTAAACTCCGGAGATGACATGATTTTTTAAAACTAGATGATACCCTCCCCTTTTTTTTTCAAATTTTGCAAAATGGTTAGCCGAGGATGTTTTTTTTCTTCAAACTTTGCGAAATGGTGAGGAGAGGACATTTAACATCTGAGCCGTGGCAAAAGTGATCACAATCGCCAAGGCTTCATTGGTATACTGTGACAATATCTTGGCAATCTACATGCTCAAAATCCAGCGCACTGTCGACGGACCAAGCATGTGGAACTCGTCATACATCTGTCGGGAGCAAGTAGCGCTCAGGCAGCTGAAGGTTCTTCACGTACCTACACATCTTTAGTTCACCGATCTTATGAAAAGGGGCTGCCAGTGTAGTCTGTTAGCTAGGCCTATTATCTGCCAGATGGCTTCCCTTCTCCGTCACATTCGCTGGGTTGTTGGGGGGTGGTTCCGTGCATATAAGGCATGTTTGGATGACGACTTGGCTAGCAGCTGCCTGCCAGGTAACTCATTCTGGACACATAGGGCCTGTTTGGTTCTCCGTCTCCATTGAAGCCTGGCTAGGATTAAAGCCTGGGTAGGTTTGGCCTGGTCCCATCAAGCCAACATGCACTTGTTTGGTTGCATGGACTATCTAAGTCTGGTTTAGAATTGGTGTGTTTAGTTCCCTGACTTGGCTTGGATAGAATCACCTTATCTACCTCCTGGTAACTTCACCCCCTATAGCACATTCTATCAAGTATGAATTCAGTTTTCAGTTTGTTTTTCCTGTTTTCAAAACTTAGAATCTTTGAAACCAACAAGTTTTTTATGTTGGTCCTTTAATCAATGTTAGAGATCTTAGATCGATGAACAACTTTGCTTAAAAGTGATCATCAAGTTGTTTTGCAAAATCGAGAGAACGAGAGAGAGGAAGATGTGCTGTCAGTCGCTAAAGTAGCACCTTCTGCTTCACCGCCGGCAATCTCCACGCGCCGGAGAAATTCGTCGTTGCAACGCCACCTCCGCCCGATTCCTCTTGCACACAGCTTCGCCTCGCCACTGTGCACCACCCTGGCCTGCTCACGCCGCCTATAGCCGCCGGAATCGTCCCCGGTGCCGGTTGCCACCATGGCCGCCGTTGGCAGCAGCACGGCAATGGACGCCCTCCTCGCCATGGCCGCCACGCGCAGGCGCCCAGCGGCTCTCCCGCAGCGGCGCCCAAGGCCCCGCGACCCCTCCCCCGGCGATGCCACTCCTGACACCAGCACCGGTCGCCGACCCCGGCCTCCAGGATCCGTGAGATCCATGGGCGAGGTTGCCGAGGGCAGCGCGACCATGCGCGGGACCACCGGGGGCAGCGCGGACGTGCATGGGTGCAGCGTCGGGGATGGCTCGCGATCGCGACCACCGTTGGGGAGGGCCGTGTTCGTGGCGGCGGGGCAGGGCACTTGGGGGGCGCGACTCGCGAGGGCCGACGATGGGCACGAATGGCGGCAGCGCGGGCGCGGAGGGCCGAAGGTGGAGCAAGGGGCTCGCGACGGCGGGTAAGGCGACGCTCGTTGCCGACAATGGAGAAGGCACGGCACCGGAGGAAGCTTAGAGGACGTGAAGGGAGGTGACAGGAACGGAACCTGCGCCTGGCTCCAGGAAAACGAATCGGGATTTCGTTCTTTGGGAGCCAGGCCGAGTGGCGTACAGCGGCTAGCTTTAGCCAACTACAGGCAATCAAACAAGTCTAAGTTAGCTCCAGCAGACCAGGTTAAGAGTTGGACACCCAACCAAATAGGCCCTTAGGCGTAGCAAATGGAAGGTCTTGTAGCCTTGCCTAGCTCCTCAGCTGCCTGGCAGGCAGCATCCAAATAGGCCAATATAGCTGCGTCTGTACTTCAAGTACTTGTACAAGTATACGTGAGATGAGCAACGCAAACCCTTTCATCAGTTCATCTCCAAAGTCTTTCAGTTATGCTCCAGTTCGTAACGAAGACGTGACACTTGATCGATATGCTAGAGCAACACAACGTATCAATCTCACGATCACTGACAAGAGGTGGCATACATTGGGTGGAGGTGTAGCCGACAAACGTTAGCTAGGGTCACACCTGGAAAGTGCCCCAGTCAAGTAAAAAGCGCGATACATTTGCGAAAAGAATGCCCAGAAAGATATGCATGAAAATCACGTCGCTAGCTTTCTCTCCTACTACCAGAGTGTCACTCCTCTAAAATTCCTAAGCACCAATACCATCATGCTCTATCATTTTCCTTTTCCACCAAGCATTATAATATATATATATATATATATATATATATATATATATACATATATTGAATGTATTATTATTATGATGATGATGATATTTATTCAATAATATTAGTAAATATAAGTATTACAATTTCACCAGCGATTCTCGCAGCAATGCACGGGGTGTTCTTCTCGTTCTTATATATATTTAAATTGAAAATGTTTTATTTCTTCGAATGGAGGTTCGAGAATGACATAGTGAACCACACCACTTCACCAAACGCCCAAAAGAATAACCAATCAATCCATCCAAAGTTCCTTTGAGGCCGTGTGTGGTTGAGTGTGAGTGTGATCCACAGCCGAAAAACAAAACCAGGCTAGGTGCACCTGCAGTTCCTGACTGTTCTGTGAGCCTGCCTGCTCAGGAGACGAACGAGAAGAGCGCACGCCAATACGGCAGGCCACACGACGACGGGGGTCTCTGAAAACCTCGCCCGAAACGTGTGGAAAACGACCAAAAAAGCGAGCGAGAGAGCGAAAGGGTGGGGCTTTGGTACCAAACGGCAAACGCACCCACCACGATCCCGTCAACCCAACCAACGACCAACCCACAGGCCACAGCAGCGCTCGCTTTTTCCTATTTGAGTTCCCCTTCCTTTGCCTTCCTGCCCCATCATCTCTCCCCGCCCGGCACGACCGCGACCAGCCACCGTCTCCGCCCCGCCCGCGGTTGCTTCAGATCTCCTCCTCCACCACCCCCAGCAGCACCAGCCAGCTCCTCCGCACCAGGATACTCCCCACCCGCTCGCCACGCCATTGCGCGCGCGCATATAAATCCCACATCCCCATCGCTCTCGCCTCTCCCCGCCCGCGCCGCGCCCTTACTGCGCAGCACGCACGTCCCCTCCGCGGTCGGTGAGGCGGCCCTGGATCTGGGCTGATCGGTCGCCGGCCGCGTCAGCGGGGTGGGAGGATCGGGATCTCGCCTCGGGGGTGCCCGCCGGAATGGAGATCTTCGGCCCCGTCACGGCCGGACAGGTGCGTGCGCGCGGCGAGTTCAATTCCACGCCCTCCTTTCGTTTTGCTTGCTTAGCGTCATGGGAGCGGGATCCGGCCCTGCCGTGCTGCTCCCTAGCTTGCCTCGCTTCGCTTTGCTCTGCTCTGGGGAGTAGTAGGTGCACCTGCGCGAGCGCAATTTGAATCCCAAGCCGGCCAAATTTGGCCATAATCTCAGAGTTCGTGCACGTGGGTGCACTCCTCTGGCGTCGGATTGAAGCGAAGTAGTAGTTGCAGTATTAATGCCATGGTTTAAGGTAGCTCCAGGGTTCGAGGGGGAATTCAGTGCCCGCTAAGCAATGCCCCTGCTCATGATCCCCGTACCTAACCAGTTTGGTGGGTTGGTGGTCTGGTGGACTTCTGCTCCTAGGAGGAGCTTTCGTAGCAAGTAGCATTGACGTTGTATACTTATGACTTATACGCGAAGCATACATAATTTTTTCTCTATGGTTGTGGTTTGGAATGGCTACAGTACAGGCCACAGGGAAGAAACCTAACATTGGGCATATGGTCCTTGTACTCTTTTTACTGTTCTTCACCGGAAAAAGGGTGTGGAGTTGAGCTGTGATATGAAACAAGGATGTTTGTTTGTCTGCTGAGAACTACTAATATAGAACAGATTTGCCTTCGTTTTCAATCCATTACGACAGGATGTATAGGGATAAAACTTTATTTCCTGGACCAAAACCATCAAATTAAGAGCACATATTTCTTGTGACTTGGATCTGAGTGTGGCTACAATCTCCATGAGATAAAAGCTATCTTAATTTAGTTTTCCTAGTTTGGTGCTTTGATGTACTAACTGCTACCAAGGCTTATTTGTCATGGACTCATGGTAGCATGGACTTATGCAACTCAATGTTTTGCTTTCTTGCAGGTGTCATTTTTGCTAGGTCTGTTCCCTGTCCTCATCGCGTGGATCTACTCTGAAATCCTCGAATACAAGAAATCTTTGTCGCATGGGAAAGTGTAAGATTTCTCTTCACAAACTTTAGTTTGAAATTAGCATTAGGACTACAGATTCGTATTGTAAATGATCTTAACTAGTAAATGTTTATAGCCATCTGCATACTGCTGTTCCGAATTATTCAAGGCTGCAATTGGAATTTTCTTTTTTAGATCAGGCAGGCAGTAGATGCAGCACGAAGAAATTGAAAAACAGTGTTTTAGTGTCACCCTGCTCTTGCATTGTTTTGTCTTCTGCAGTCATTCAGACGCTAATTTGGATAATGGAACCATCAAGGAGGATGACAAGTCAGTATTACTTGAAGGAGGACAGTTGAAATCACCATCTACAAAGTTCAGGAATTTGTCTACCAAAGCAAATTTGTTACGGTACCGTTTAAAGACCAACACAAGCCACACTGGAATTATAGCTCATACACTTGTGATTTGTGAAATATTGATATCTCTGTGGTTGTGAACTGTAGGTTTATAACTATGGACGAGTCTTTTCTGCTTGAAAACCGTGCTGTACTGAGAGCCATGTAAGATTATTTACTAATAATAATGGCATGCACTCTCAGCCTTCTGGCTATGTGATCATCTGCTGATACTTTGCTGCCTTGTAACCATTTTGCAGGGCTGAATTTGGCGTTGTCCTGGTTTATTTTTACATTTGTGACCGGACAAACATATTTCCAGAAAGCAAGAAGGTAATGATGTTACCTCTGCCAGTTAGTCTTACACTCAGCACTGCAGTAAGCGGCACATGTAAACTGCAGCGGCTGTTGATTAGCTAAACTGTAACTATATAATGTTTCTGCGCTGAAGATTGCCCTTGTTACTTCTTGTTTTATGATCTATTATGACCTGTTTCTTATATGTTCTTTATGTCTTTTACTTGCATTGTAATCCTTGTTTTTTCTTTGACAGAGCTACAACCGTGATCTGTTTCTGTTTCTGTACATTCTTCTCATCATAGCATCAGCGCTTACTTCACTTAAGAAGCATCATGAAAAATCAGCATTTTCAGGAAAGTCCATACTCTATCTTAATCGCCACCAGACTGAGGAATGGAAAGGGTGGATGCAGGTTAGTGCTTTTACTTCACTTGTTTATTTTTCTTGATATTGTGATGCTTAGGTATCTATATCATTTGAGATTTTAGAGATGGTGAGTATGATGACATGTAAAATGCACTCGCTAGGCATTGATATTTTGTACGACATGCATGCTACGTCTTCTGCTTTTCCTTTGGTAAATTTGCATCCATCTTCTGCTATATAGATAATATATCCATTGTTATGGTGTTCCTTCTATCCTTAGTCACAATATGGTGTTATGTACACAGACTTTACTTAAAAGCCTATTACCTTATTGAGAGCGAATAGGTCTCGGGAAATTGTGATAGACTGATATGCCGCGATCTCGTCAGCGGTAACATCCCCAGACCTTGGAGAGGGCGGAGGAGTGGGAGACATGGCGCTGCACGGCAGAGGTCAGAGGCCGGCGCGCAGGGGTGTGCAGCGGAAGGGAAGACCTAAACCTAGGCGGCTGATACCATGAGAGCGAATAGGTCTCGGGAAATTGTGATAGATTGATATGGGTACAGGGAGTACATTATATAGGCAAGGATCAGGAAGGGTTTATAGAAACACCCAATCGACGGTGATCCTTGCCTAATCAATAATCATCTACCATAATCCCTAGAGGCAGCCCAGCCGATAGGCTTGGGCGCCAGGCCCATGACCAGCCCATAGGCGCCTATTCTAACACTTATATCAACCAAACATTTTTATTGTGACAACTACTGCAATAGTTTTCTTCTCACTTGTATATTTCAAGTTTTCAACAACTGAATGCCATCAAAATGTACTTACTGCAGTAGCGTTTTTGCATTCTCTTTGGTGTCTGTCTTACACAGGTATTGGTATTAATCCATTCTGGTTGCAAGAGTGTACTAATTATTCATTCTGTATTGCCAGGTCTTATTTCTGATGTACCATTATTTTGCTGCTTCGGAGATATACAATGCAATCCGTGTGTTCATTGCTTGCTATGTCTGGATGACTGGATTTGGGAATTTCTCATATTACTATATCAAGAAAGATTTTAGCATTGCAAGATTTGCTCAGGTGCCTAAGCTACCTCATCAGTCTTACTGATATGTCCTAATGAGTTAAGTCTCATGTATTTCATGTTACCACTTTTTAAACACTGACCAATGACTATAATTTTCATTCAGATGATGTGGAGGCTGAATTTCTTTGTGTCATTCTGTTGCATTGTCCTTGACAATGATCTCATGCTTTATTATATCTGCCCAATGCACACACTATTTACTCTTATGGTATATGGATCACTTGGTCTGTTTAACAAATACAATGAGATACCATCAATCATGGCTATTAAGATTGCTTGCTGCTTCCTGTCTGTAATTTTGATATGGGAAATTCCTGGGGTGTTTGAACTATTGTGGGCCCCCTTTACGTTTGTACTAGGTAAGTTATTGTTGTAGTTTTGTATGACATTGTCCCTTTCAGTCACGCTCAGGAGTTCAGGACCAACCTTAATTATTCTCTATTCAGGCTATAAAGATCCATCGCCGGCCAAGGCACACTTACCCCTGTTACATGAGTGGCATTTCCGATCTGGCCTCGATCGATACATATGGATTGTTGGAATGATTTATGCTTACTTCCATCCTAATGTAAGTACTTCAGATATGGATCTATATTACCCTGATTGCCCTCTCAGACCGTATCTGCGAGATTTTATTGGTTACGTCTATATATATCTTCCTCAATCTCTCTTATACCTTAAGCATTGTTCCTTTTGTTCAGATCATGTTAATCTAACATGGAACCTTTTATCCTAAACAGGTTGAAAGATGGATGGAGAAGCTGGAAGAATCTGAGACTAAAGTTAGATTATCAATCAAGGGAACCATTGTCACTCTTTCGTTGACGGTAAGTTCCACCATTCTTACCTTTGTTGTTGTGTTAACTAGGTTGGATTTCTTTAAATCAAGTACTTGACACCACTGTGTTGATACTACTGTACTAACTAGGTGCATGTTTCTTCTTCTAGGCTGGCTTTCTGTGGTACGAATATATATACAAGCTAGACAAAGTTACATACAACAAGTACCATCCCTACACGTCATGGATCCCTATAACGTACGTATAAGAAATGTTAGCATGTATTCATAATCGATGTGGCATGTGCCAGCAACATGCTTCGTTGCAGTTGACAATGAACTTTGTTTCTTACAGTGTTTATATCTGCCTGCGTAATTGCACTCAGCAGTTGAGGAGTGCCTCTTTGGCTCTTTTTGCGTAAGCATTAAAACTTTTACTACCTACATTGTTCATGTGTTTTCTTGGCTTACTCGGTGGCTAAGTATTAATCTATATTTGTGACAGATGGCTTGGCAAGATTACACTAGAGACTTATATTTCTCAGATCCATATTTGGCTTAGGTATGACTCTTGTGTTACTGCTACATATATTTTTCCCCCTAATTAGAAGGTACTACCAGTTCACTAGCCTTGTGGTAAATAGCATATATTCCTATAGCATGTTGGATATAAGATCAACTTCGATCTTTTTTCTCATATAGCAGTAGTTTATTCAACTGAACTAAAAATGCTGCTCAAATACCTTTGCTTTGCCACACTGTGACCAAGCTTCTTTTGCAGGTCTAGCATGCCAAATGGACAGCCAAAATGGCTTCTTTGTTTCATACCAGATTATCCTATGCTTAACTTCATGCTTACTACGGCGATCTATCTTCTTGTAAGTTGCCAACTTCAAACCCATCTCATTACTTATCGGGAAAGAAAACCATTTCATTCAACAGTCATAAAAAGGATACTCATTTCATTATCAATAAATGCAGCTATCATACCGTGTGTTTGAGATCACAGGCGTGTTGAAGGCGGCCTTTATACCCAGTAGGGATAATAGCCGTCTATACCAAAATTTCATTGCTGGGATCGCCATCTCAGTGTGCTTGTATCTCTGCTCACTTATTCTTCTGAAGGTTCCTGTTGTATAGGTAAACATCTGAAACTTACAATGTTTGCAGTTACCTCTGTGATTCCTGTAACCCAGATATAGCTGTTTGGATCTGCAGGGATGAAGATACACCAAGCAATCTTGATAGAAGGTTTCTTGTAAAACGTTTGCTTGATAGGATGTTCAGCTCTGGCCTCGATTCCCTTCTGCTGTTGTGGAGATAGTTGGGGATGCCAGGAGAAGCGGCTAAGTTGGACATATGGGAATTGGGAAATTGAATTGCCAGATGCTGCAGATACAGAAGTCCAATTTTTGATCTTTTTGTTCGTTCAAAACACTACTGTATACAACAAGTAGTCAATCCCCGCATTCTTTTGGAAGTTGTAGCAACTGCTGGCTAGCCTATGTTGATGCAACCTCGTGTAACAGTTATCCTGTAGAACTGCACCGTGTTGTGCCATAGGTATTTTGATGCTGTACAAAAACGACGGGCTTTTCCTCTTTCTTGAAAAGAAGAATATAAAGGCAGAGCCCTTCCTTCTCCCAATTGTTACGTCGTCTTTTTTTGCTTTGGACCATCCAGTCTGTTCATCCTGTATGTGCGGACCGGGCTCAGTCGACCGGTGGACGGTGGTAGGCACGGCTCAAACGCTCGGCGGTGCCGTCGCGCGCAGGCGAGGCAGCCTCAGCCGCCCGTGGCGTAGTGGTCGTCGTCGCGCCCCGCGCCCGGCGCCGCTTCTCACGCGCCTAACGCCGGCCGGACGGGGCATCAAGGTCAGCTTGCGGTAATGCTATGGCAGATGCCAGTGGGAGTTGGTAGCAGGTTCCATCGCCTCAATCATGGAGCGAGACAATCTTGGAATGTTGGTGCAACCCTACCCAACTTCAAATCCCCTCTTTCACGCAAGAACTAAATACAGTCTACTAATGTGGACTGGACTTGGAGAAAGTCTTGGAGTAGTTCAAGCACAGTTCGTCGTCTTTCAGAAAAAGAAAAAAAACACAGTTCATCTGCTTAGGCGAACAGCTTTGTCGATGACTTTTAGGATTGTGGGATGGGCAGCTAATATAACCCCAACCAACATGCGATAACTGTAGCATATACTCCTATCTTGCACCGCGTGTTCAGCAATATGATGAGATCGTTTTTTGTTTGTTTGTTTGTCTGATCCGTTGATAACACCATGTGATGTAACGACAAAGGCCATCTCTATCTCTATCTTGAAATGAGAACGAAACCCAACGGCACTCTTGCGTCTTGCGATAAATACCAGGTTTCACACTTTTGCGAAGGAAAATTCAAAGATATGTCAACCCTTTACTCGGTCTCGGTGTAACTACGTCATTCTCCATTACTTTCCGCCCATTTAAAAAAAAATCTATGCCCAAACTTTCATATTCGTTCCGTCCAAAAATAAGTGCCCAAATATTTCTAAGTCAAAGTACGCATCAGCTCCATCCAAAAAAAAGTGGCAACCAAGCGTCCAAGCCCCAATCCAGATTTCGCTGTCCATTTTCACAGTCAGTAATCCAGATTTTACTCCGGGACCCGGTCCGTGAGCGGGAGCAGGTACCTGCAGACGCCAGACGACTGATAACTTACTGTTTCCATTCAACCTTGAGCAATAATTCGAACAATACGCAACTCTATCAATTAATAAATATCTCTATGATCCAACTGTGCATCATTTAGAGGGTGTTGGCTTTGAAGAACCATCTTATCTTTTATGAGATAGTGCATCAAAAAGTCTATTGTTCAAATTTGGTGGAATTGCTATATTATTCATATTTAACACTAATTAATAGCTCATAAGGAATGAGATCATAGTTGAACTCATTCTATTCCGCAAACTAAATAAAAAGAAGTTGCCATATTTCAGATGTCTGAATTTTAGATGATTTCATACTACAGTCTTATACAACCAACTACTACAATTAAAAGAACAACTCATAAAAGACCATTCATAATTTTTTTTTGTCTATGATCAAACAATGACAAAATTACCTATTGTCTAAGCAACAACGGAAAAATCAAATACCTAAAATATAGGAGAAGCGAATAAAAAATGAGGAGTGAAAAATGATTGATTACTTCCTTACTCAGACCAAACACACTACTATTGAACCATGAATATTTCCTATGCTACTTTTCTCTTGTTCATCAGATCAATGATTTGACTAGATTGCAAAGCATGTTCGCTTGGTCGTATTTGGTTTATAAGCCATGCCTTATCAGCCAATGAATAATATTTTTCTCTCACACCAAACCAGTCAACAATACTTTTAGCTATGGCTTATAAGCTAAACAAGCCCAAACGAACAGGGCGAGGATGGTGGCTTTCGCATGACCTGACGATGTTGTTGCCTTGCTAGTTAAGGTTGTTGTCTGACCGTTTACACCAAAATTTGGGAGGAAGAACGTGGGAACTCGAAGCTTCCAAGATTGTGTCATTAAGAAATCGATTAGATGTGAATCGGTATTAGTTGATTTAGATGCGACGTCAGAATCAGATATTTTATAGATGATGTCAGCAGACGGCGTCAATGGGCTATGCTTGAATGGCGTCAGGAAGATGTGTCGACTCTACAAATAAAGAAAATTAGGGTCTAAGTTATTATTAAGTTAGAAAGTTTTCTTTTATTCCAATAATTATAATGAGTCGTATTTGAGTAGGATTCATATTTGGGTTCCGGGTATAAATATTATACCCTGGTTATTGTAAAAAAACGAACACTCAATCAATACAATCTTTTCAGCTTTTGTCATCGCATTAGGAGTAGGAGTACTATAGATCTCGATGAGTTCTTCAACAAACAGGGCTGCATCGACTGATCAACCTCCAGCTTGCTTGTGAGTACCGTCACGACTTGTATTGTGCTTGTAAAGCTGCATCAGCTGATTGATCTTTTATGAGCCATAATATAAGTTAATTATCGATCTGTATCGTAGCTTGTAAGGCTGCATCAGCTGATTGATCTCTTACGAATCATAATATAGATCAAAGTTATCGATCTTATGTTAAATAACTTGTTGTTTAATATAATATCACCAGTTATCGAATCTGCTAAGATTAGTAAGATTTTCCTTACTGTTTTTTGGTTGATTCATCAGTTATCGATCTTGTTATAATTAATGGTTTATTAACTATAACAAAATCACCCGATTGAGATAGAGATATATCGGCATCATATCATCTTAATTGGTCGTCTTTTGATCTGGTCACGCTTTAAATCTTATAATTGATGGCTTAATTCCACTAGATCGGCTGTTTTATCTCTATTCCAATCAAACATAGTATGCATCCAAAGACATGTTTCAATCTTAAATAAACTCACTAGTTAATGAGATCTAATCTAATGACACTACCATAGCTGCATCGATCCGGTCGAACCTCACTGGTAAGATTTTAGATTAAAAATTATCGATTAGTGGTCTTGTTCATGATCAAGATATGTACTATGTTTGTTTGCGATGACTGCATCGGCTATTTTAGCCGATTTGCCATACTCTCACGCATATAGTATGTTTTCATGAATCTGTCAACATATAGATGGTTTTATAGATTCTTTGGCTTTAGTTTGTTATCATTATCATAGCTGCATCGATCCAATCGAACCTCACTGTTGATGATAATAGATTAGATTCAAACTGTTTGTAGATTCATTTATATTAGACAGCCGATTTGTTCGCATGTTAAAATCTTTTTCTCAAACTTATCGGCTCGACACTTTATATCGATCATGTTTCATTTGGCCGATGATGCTTTCTGATGTTTACATGAGCATCGGTTATTTTGATTCATATCATTATCATTTAATATTAGTCGATAATCCTTGATTTAAAGATCTCCATTTCATGGATACGTCGGATATCAACTATTTAGTCGATAGCCTTATTGAATCGGCTATCTAGCCGTACATTTGGAACTGTCTGGTGCAATACCGACATGTTTCACTTTAAATTACTGATAAGATTTTCTCTTCTTGTTAATTACAGGTCAAATTGACTGGCATGTTGTTGGGTTTTCAGAATCGGCTGGTTCTGTGTTGAAACCAAACTGATCTCTGGTCTCGTTCCACTCAAATCATCCGGTTTGCTGTGTGTTGATCATACCACATTTGTATGTCAACACTGTCGAATGTCAAGTTGAAGTTGAGTGTAACTTAGCTGGAAAGTATTGTCGTTATCAGACGTTTACGGAACAAATTGTAATTGACCATTAAACTCACTAATTTCATTATTATTTTCCTGGATATTTTTGGGTGAAGGATATGGATAGGAGGGCTGAGGATTCTGTTGTCTAGAAGGTACAAAACACTCGTGTTCAGTGCTACTACCAAAATACAAGTATGCAGCCTGTTCGGGAGGCCGTATCGTATCGTGGATTATTTACTGCTGGCTGGTTTGGTGTGAGAGAAAAACACTATTTCTGGCTGGAAATTTACGATCGTTTACGAGCAAACGAACATGCTGATGATCGTCTACGCATCAATTCCGTCCTTGAGATACTGGACGACAAGATCGAGACAATTAAGAGTTGGCTGGAAATCTTCTGGAAGCAAACTGACAATCTAGACGTAGAAGGATTCATGTCATAGCTTTTGTTCTTTTGTGGTAGAAGTAGATTCTAGTTTGTGACGTGTTTGCTCTGAATCTGAGCCTTCATGGATTTGTTCAAAGCTCGTAAACTGGTAAACCCAGTCGTGGTGTTGCCGTGTTGGTGTGAGTTTTAAACTTTGTAAATACCTGTTTGTTTTCTATAAAAACCAGAGTTTTTTCCCCTAAAAAAACAGAGTTTTTTCTCTGTAAAAACAAAAGATAGGGAACTGCTGTAGGGCTGGACAAAAAGCTCGTCTAACTCGCTCTGTGACTTTTTAAAATTGTTCTAATTAAAGTTATTTTAAAAAATAAAAATAAGATAATTTAAAATGGCTTTCGACTTTAACTCGGCTCATTAAGCTCGGTTTGAAGTTTTGTCTTAAACAATTTAGGAAAACGCCGATCGAAGAAAGCTCGATAAAAAGTACAGTCGGCTCGTTAAGTCAGTTATGCACCCCTACTGCTGATACATTTGACAAAGGGTGTGAATGAACATCTATAAAAGGTCATTGTGGTTAGCTGTAACTTCTGAACGTTAAATCTAAACTCAAGCAAGTATTATTTACATCAGGAAGTTTTGCCATATCCGCACAAAACTCATAGAAGAAATTAAAATTCTCTATAGATTATAGACAGAACAACAACAAAAGCTGAATCAATAGTAATTTCCCCTGTTTCAAACTTTTCAGTGAATTCCAAGAGCCTGAAATCTCCTTACTAGAGCAAGATTAGTAGCGTTCCTCCTCTGCCAGTCCTCCGTGCTCTCCTTCCTCTGCTCGAACTTGTCCAGCACTTCGTCGTTGCCATCCAGAATGCTCACTATCTTCCTCATGCTCGGCCGCGCCGCCGGGTCTGACCGGGTGCACGCTATGCCAAGCCGAGCCATCCTCACGAGCTCCCTACGGTCAAACTTGCCGTCCAGCCGCCGGTCAGCCAGGGCCTCCACCGGCCGGTCCAGCTGCTCAAAGAGCTGGACCTTCCTGACGAGAAGAACCTCCGGCAACCTCCCGTCCACGGCCATCGTGCCGGTCACCACCTCCAGCACCACCACGCCGAAGCTGTAGACGTCGGCCATGGTGGTGGCCTCGCCGGTGTCCATGTACTCGGGCGACATGTAGCCGAAGATGCCCTTTGCCGAGCTGGTGGTCACCACCACGTGGTGCCCGCCGCCGTGGTGCTCGTTCCTCGACAGGAACTCGGCGAGCGCGAAGCTCCCGAGCCGCAGGTTCATGTCAGGGTCCAGGAACACCGCCGACGAGGTGATGTTGCGGTGGATGACCTGCTCGTCCCACTCCTCGTGGAGGTACAGGATGGCCGACGCGAGCGCCCTGACGATGCTGTACCGCTGCCGCCACGGGAGCACCGCCGCGCCGCCGTGGCGCCGCTGGAGCAGGTAGTGGCTCAGGAGGCTCCCCGGGGCGTAGTCGTAGACGACGAGCATCTCGCCGTGGTCCGTGCACCACCCGCGCAGCTGCACGAGGTTCCTGTGCCGGAGCTTGGCGAGGTTGCAGAGCTCCCTGGCGAAGCGGACGCGCAGCGCCGGGCACGTCTTCATGCCGAGGCGCTTCACGAGGACGTGGACGCGGCCGTGGCCGGTGTCCAGGAAGCCCTCGTACCCTGTCCCGAAGTCCAACTCCGCGACCACCTGCGACTCGGAGAAGTCGTTGGTGATGGCGACGATCTCCTTGTAGGGTATCTCACGCGGCATGTCCACGTGCGGGATCGCCGCCACGGGAGATAGCCGCGACGACGACCGCCGGCCGGAGTCAGCGGACGCGGACCTGGAGCCGGTCCTCCCTTCGTCTTCTGCGGTGTGGTAGATGGTGTCCGCGGCCGCGGTGGCGTAGACGGGATTGGACAGAGATGTCGTCGCCGTGCTCCTGTCGGTGGTGACGGTCGTGGCGCCGGAGTCGGAGGCCGACGAAGTGGTGAGGGAGATGTACTTCGGGAGCGCCACGAACGACGGGAGACGCGGGAGGTCGCCGCCGGAGCAGCCGTCGGAGAGGTTCTCCACCACCCACCTCATGGTCGGACGCGCCCTGGGGTCGTGCAGCGAACAGAGGAGGCCGAGGTGCATGACCCTTCCGACGTCAAACAGCACGCCGGCGCCGCCGTCCGGCAGCTTCGCGTCTGCGGCGTCGAGCAGCTTCCCCTCGTCGGACAGCCGGCGCACCCAGTCGAGCATGAAGATCTGGTCGTCCGGGTACGCCAGGTCGACGGCGCGCCGGCCCGTGGCCACCTCGAGGAGCACGATGCCGAAGCTGAAGACGTCGGACTTGGCGGTGCCGCCGGTGGCCCGGCGCTGCAAGCTCTCGGGCGGCAGGTACCCGATGGTCCCGCCGATGCGGCTGGTGTCCATGAGCCGGAACTGGTAGTTGGCCGAGGCCGAGGCAGAGGACGACGACAGACGCAGGGACGTCGGCGACGGCGACACCTCCAGGTGCGGCTGCACGTCGTCGGCGGACACGGCGTGCTCGAGCCAGCGCGCGAGGCCGAAGTCGCCGAGGCGGGCGTTGTACTCGGAGTCGAGCATGACGTTGCTGGTCTTGACGTCGCGGTGGATGATCTGCGTGTCCAGCTGCTCGTGCAGGTAGAAGAGCGCGGCGGCGAGCCCGGCCACGATGCGGCGGCGGCGGTCCCAGCTGAACGCCGGGGCCGCCTTGGCCTTGGCCGGCGCGAAGAGCAGGCGGTCGAGGCTGCGGTTGGGCATGTAGTCGTAGACGAGCATGAGCTCCTCCCCAGCTCGCACGCACCAGCCGCGGAGGCGCACGAGGTTGCGGTGCCGCAGCCTGGCCACGGCCGCGACCTCGGCGAGGAACGACTTGTCGAAGCGGCCGGTGCTATCGACGACGCACTTGACGGCCACCGTGGTACCGTCGCTGGGCAGCACGGCGCGGTACACCCTGCCGAACCCGCCGCTGCCGAGCACCTCCCCGTCGCTGAACCCGCGCGTCCCGATGTAGAGCTCCGAGTAGCTGAATATCCTGGGCCCGCCCCCGGCGCCCGCCAGCTGCTTCCTTCCGGCGACGTCCTCGTCGACCACGCCCGCGATGTCCTCGAACGCCATCCCCGACGAGTCGTGGCACCGGTCGGCGCCGCGGCAGCACGGCCGGTAGCGGCGGAAGCACGACAGCAGGTGACCGGCCGTGGCGCGGGCGTACGCCTCGAGGGTCGACGTCACCTGGCTGCGCCGCGACGTTGCCTCCGAGTCCGACGACGCCGGTGGTACGGCCTCGTCGACGTCCATCGGCAGCACGAAGCAGAGAAGGCGCAACGACGACGACGACATAGTCGGGCACCGGGCAGTCGGGCAGGCAGTGCTTACTACGAAGTGATTAGCGATCAGCGAGTGCAACGCCCACTCATGCTAAGCGGCGGGCGGTGGTGCGGTTAGGTTAGTGCGCGTGGGGGAAGGAAATTAAAGCGCGGGCCGCGGGCAGGCGGTGGAGGCTTCCATTCCATTCCATGAGCGTTTGGAATGATTTGGGGACGGACGGGAAGTGGCTTACGAGTGTGAAGGGACTGCTGGTGTGGACGTGTGGATGGGCTGGGCAGGTGGGGAAGATGGCCAAAAGCAGCCTCTGTGGCGTGTGGACGAGGACGACAGCACGGCTGCAGGGGGGAAGAAGAGACGAGAAAAGACGATGAAGAATTGAAGACGCACAAAAGCTAGCTGGCTTTGGGTATCTATCGACTATCTATATGGGATGACAAGAGCAGGGGGGTCGGCGTCACGGCTCATTTTAGGCGGTAAGTAGCGTCTAGCGTGCGGTGGGTGCGTTAGTAGGTGACCATCTATCGCGGTTGACTTGCACGCGGTTCGCTCTTGTATTTAGCTTATAAACTAGGATTTATCAGCTAATAAATAGTATTTTTCTCTCGTCATAAACTAGCCAACGATGCTTTTAGCTATGACTTATAAGCCAAATCAGTCGAAAAAAAAGAGGTTGCCCTACAGGGTGGAGCCGGCGGCATTCCCGCCAAAAAGTAGGAAAGTTTTTTTTTCCCTTCCATGGCAATGTCTAAATTAGTCTCGCTACATCTGCTCAGGTAATGCTCAGGTGTTGAAGAAAATCAGCAGCATCTGCTGCAACAGCTACTGCTATATATACGACTCCTGCAGATACATCAGCAGCATCTACTGCACTTTTCCTGTCTGTAAAAGGAAATATAAAGACAACCTCGTTTTTGCTGAACTCAAACTTCATCTGAACTTAATACAGATTTTGGGATAATCGGACCATCCAAATCCAACTCTGCATTTATATTATATAGTAATTTTCAGTCAAATTGCTGCTTTTACGGAGGAGCTAGTTTTTTTTTTTTTTTGAGTGGAACGGAGAAGCTAGATGCACGTGCGTGTCGCACAGTCGTGCACAGGCCGCTCGTCTCACCGCGCGGGCCGCAGCCTCGGTCTCCCTGAAGCCGTCTAGGCCTTCACAGCCCAACTCGAGATTGGACCGAGGGCCCATCAAGCCCGCGAGTCCGAGTCGCGGCCTTTCCGTTTCCTTCCCGAGGGAATGGTCTTCATCGTCCTGGTCCCGGCCTCCCGGGTGCCATAGCCCTAGCCCTAGCCCTAGTCGCCTGAGGCTGAGTGGCGAGTTCACCTCTCCTGACCGCAGCCCGGCGACCTCGCCTCCGCCACCGCGCCGGTCGCCGGCCGATTCAGATGAACACGTCGCCTTCCAGATCCAGGTACGCTTCGACCGCACCTGCACCTCTCCCCCCATCCAGTAACCCTAGAACCTTCCGTTTGATGCGAGCCCCCTAAACCCTAGCAATAATCTGTTTCCGGGACCCGAAACATTCCATCCGGTTCGTCGAAGCTTCTTTCGCTAGGTTTGTTTGCTGCGCGGTGGGTTGGAATCGACAAGGGTAGGTTGATTTATCCGCCGGAAACGTCGCAGCCCTGGTGGAGTGGTGGTGGTCCAAAGAGCCGCCCTATGCGATTCATCTTATATAGGATAAAGAGCACTCCTGGGAAATTATTTGGCACCAAAACAGCGCAGCGCGATTTTGTGCTGCGTAGATTGTTGTGTGCCAGCTGATTAGTTAGCAGAATTTTAGTTGATTCCCTAATAATCAGAGTATTCATATTGAAAGATATTCATCTAGAAAATTAAGGACATAATATTGCCATTCATTCTACTATATTATCATACAGCAACTCAGAAGTACCTCTATTGCCATTCATCCTCAATTGTAGTATCAGGGTACACAACTTTGACATGTTTCTTTGTCTTCCTCTTCAACCAGTGGCAAATCTCTGTTGGGTTCACCTTTCAAACCACCGTGACCTTAGTGAGTTCGAGGAACAAACTGGTGAACTGATGTAAAACAAACAAATGTCATCTTAGGAAATTTAGATATAGAGTCAGCATCACTATTCCAATGTGCTGAAACATGCCACTTAAGTGTTCAGAGAAAAATCCCCAGCCAATGCTCAAAAATTGCCTTCACTTATATGTTGCCAACAATTACTTTATTGGGACACCAATTTCACTGTGGTTTTGACTAAAGCTAGAGCTGTTTAGTATCCTTTCTGTCTATTCTATTATTATTTCTTTCCTGCACAGTTATCTTTACATTTGGGTTATTATTTGAAATCGGGATTGAGAGATGGGGGGTTGTCTCCTTTCTTTTCTCTTTTTGGGACACTAGATTATCTGAAGGGCAATGATGGGAGGCTGGGGGGTTTCGGATGGGTACGAGGGATTAAAGAGGACACGAATGATGATGGAATCGAATCCCTACTTCGCAGTGAATGCAGGGAGTCCATTGGATGTCTCAAAGAGGGCCAGGATGATGGAACCAGGTGCTCCCTATTTTGGGGCTATGGGAAGCAACGCTGGTGGTGCCAGCGGCGGCTTCTACCAGCCCTTTGGCAGCAACTTAGCTGCTGCAGGGGTTAGCACTGGTATCCAAAGCTTTCCAGGTGTCCGGCTGCGAGGCCTCCCTTTTGATTGCAACGACATTGACATCTGCAAGTTCTTTGTGGGGCTGGACATAGTGGACTGCCTCCTAGTTAACAAGAATGGGCGCTTTACTGGCGAGGCGTTTGTGGTCTTCCCAACAGCCATGCAAGCAGAATTTGCTCTGCATCACAACAGGCAGAACATGGGCCGGAGGTATGTTGAGGTGTTCAGATGCAAGAAGCAGGAATATTACTGTGCAATAGCCAATGAGGTGAACCAGGGTGGTTACTTTGAGCGGGAGCATCAGCGCTCCCCACCTCCTCCAAGGCCTAAGAGGCCGTCTGAAGATAAGGGCAGCATGCAGTATACAGAGGTTCTGAAGCTCCGTGGGCTTCCCTACTCTGCCACCACTGAGGACATCATCAAGTTCTTCCAGGAGTACGAGCTGACAGAGGAGAATGTGCATATTGCGTACCGCTCGGATGGGAAGGCTACGGGTGAAGCCTTTGTTGAGTTTCCAACAGCTGAAGTTGCAAAGACGGCCATGTGCAAGGATAAGATGACCATGTGGACTAGGTATGTCGAGCTGTTCCCGTCCACCCCAGAGGAGGCCAGCAGGGCAAAATCCCGAGGCAGGCATTGAAGAAATGTGTATTCAATGATCTCTGTATCCATGCGGCTGTGTTCGAGTTTAGCTTTCATATGGTTTGCTTGCCTGTATCACTGTTAGGTGGTGTTAGCTTATCTGAACTGAATTGTAACAATTATCTTGTATGGCATATAATCATTGATGGATTTTGCCTCATTCCAATTTGAGTTTATATACATGGTCCAAATTGGGAGCAAATGCTCTTTGGGTACTGTTTCTTTTGTTCGTGCTGGAGATGCTAGCTTGGTGAGCTTACCAAGCGGTGATTATTATGTTGCTGCTGCATTGTATTGGCCCCGTTCGGCTGAAACTTGGCTGAAAAACACTGTTCTGACTGAAATGTTGTGAGAAAAAAATACTGTTCTAGCTGAAAAAAGAAGCCGAACAAGACAGATTTAAGGTAAGCCGAACGGGGCCAATAAGGTCTAGTCCCCGTCTACTGTACTCATTATACTCCGATTGTTCAAAACATGTTATCCCTCAGTTCTAAATTATAAGTCATTTTGATTTTTCTAGGTGCATAGGAAACATGCTATATATAACTGGAAAATTTAAAATAACATAATTTAGAATGTTGAGATTATTATCTATGGCAATCTTTGATCAAACCTTAAAAACTGAAGTAAACAATAACTACTATATTATTATTTATTTTGAAAACATATAATTACATGTGTAGATATGAATTCAAAACAATAACAAAATCACATAAATTTAAAAGATTTTAATAATAATGTATTCTTAAATAAACTATCTATTAAAGATACACATCTAAAAGTCATACAAAGTCGAATGTGCCCCAAGTTGTGTTCGCTGTGAGGCCCTTTGGATCTTTTTGACTTTGGAGGAATTAGAATCTATACTTAATAGACTAGGCTGTTTGATTTGGAATTTCACAATTTTCCAAACTTCACATGTAATTCTATCTTAGATTCCTAGGATGGGAGATATAAATTGATTCTATAGATCATCGTGATAATATTTCTACTCTGTAACTTATAACACGTTTTTCAGCTTGCTCCCCTACTATAGAAATGCAGGACATAAGTAACTCCCTTTCTTGCGGTTATACAGTACAACTAAGACACTCATAGTGCACGCACACTCACCTCTATACATGCACGCACACAAAGATCTCCCTTAAAGATATCGATCTCCCTCAAAGATCTCCCTCATATGACTAATAGTAGTATACAAATATATTACATATACAACCATGTTAGCTTAATTGATCTGTGCCTAAATTATGATTATTGGATTTTAATTCAAAAAATCAAACGGGGACTAAATAGTATTAAAGAGGACTGGCGTTAAGGAAGAGTCTAAATAAAAAAAAAATCTGATTTGGACGCCAGTGTGGGCCTAGACAACCAGAACGAAAGCAACATCCCGGCCTTCTCCGGGCCCGTCCCAATTTCTACCTGACCTTTCCTTGTATATATATGGACCAAACAGCCCCAGTACTGCGTTTACGGTTCGCCCCTGCCTTTTCTTCTCCCGCTGTCCCCTCCCCGCGTGCGCTCCCTCTCGTGGCGGCGACTGGGCGACGGCCGCCGTACGCCAGGCGCCCAGGTCTGGTCGGGCCTCCCTTCGCCGGCAAATATCACCCTTCAGGTATGCGGTATGCCCACCCCTTTTCTTCCCTTCCTGCCTGCGTTGCGAAACCGAGCACCCAAACCCTAACTTAAGCTATCTGCGTATTCGGATCTGATCTAATTAAAACAATTATCGGTTGTACATGTGTGAACCCATGTCCTTTACTGCGTACGACCCCTGCCACACGGGTAATTCGCCGCCGGCGGTGATCCGTGTAGCCACCATAACCATGGTAGAGGCCAGATGCTTGGTTGGATTTTAGGCTGTTGAATTCGTGAACCCTCGTAGCAACTAATGCGAGATTATTGGGCAACGAAATAGTCCAGCACGATTTTGTGCTGACTAGATTTGTCCTGTGCCATGTTGATTATTATTTGGTGGAATTTGATTTGCTTCCTCAATATCAGAGTAGGGTATTTCATGAATAAGTTTACCCCTGTTATAATTCTGTGCGCTAGTTTGGGATGCTCGAAGTAGTTTTGTCCCTGTGCCTGAATTCTAGCCATCATGTCCAAAAATCGTGATCAAGCAGAAGCTAGTTTCATGGTATCAACTTTTAGTTCAGCTTCATTACACAGCTCAATTTTCATCTAGGGGATAAGGTTCCACCTCTAAATTAAGCTCTAAATTTGTTCATGTGTGCTTGTGTACTGGATGTAAAACTATCAAACAACCAGAGTTAGAATCATTTTCTGGATGCGCTGAAACATGCCATTTAAATGTTGAGAGAGAATCTCTAGGCATAGCTTAAAAAAACTGCCTCCGCCTATATATTGCAAACAATTGCTTTATCGGGACTAAAATTTCACTGTTCTGTGCAGCTTGCTTAGTACTACATATTATGCTTCCTGCTATTATTTCTTTTCTGCACAGTTATATTTATATTTGGGTTATTATTTGAATTTGGGATTGAGAGATGGTGGGTTATTCTCCTTTTCTTTTCTCTTTTTGGGACTGGATTATCTGAAGGGCAATGATGGGAGGCTGGGGGGTTTCGGATGGGTACGAGGGATCAAAGAGGCCACGAATGATGATGGAATCGAATCCCTACTTCGCAGTGAACGCAGGGAGTCCATTGGATGTCTCAAAGAGGTCTAGGATGGTGGAATCAGGCCCACCCTATTTTGGGGCTATGGGCAGCAACACTGGTGGTGCCAGTGGTGGCTTCTACCAGCCCTTCAACAGCAACTTAACTGGTGCAGGGGCTAGCACTGGCATCCAAAACTTTCCAGGTGTCCGGCTGCGCGGTCTACCTTTTGATTGCAACGACATTGACATCTGCAAGTTCTTTGTGGGGCTGGACATAGTGGACTGCCTCCTGGTTAACAAGAATGGTCGCTTTACCGGTGAGGCTTTTGTGGTCTTCCCAACAGCCATGCAAGCAGAATTTGCACTGCATCGCAACAGGCAGAACATGGGCCGTCGGTATGTTGAGGTGTTCAGATGCAAGAAGCAGGAATACTACTGTGCAATAGCCAGCGAGGTGAGCCAGGGTGGTTACTTTGAGTCAGAGTATCGCCGCTCCCCACCTCCTCCGAGGCCTAAGAAGCCGGCTGAAGACAAGGGCAGCATGGAGTACACTGAAGTGCTGAAGCTCCGTGGGCTTCCCTACTCTGCCACCACTGAGGACATCATCAAGTTCTTCCTGGAGTACGAGCTGACAGAGGAGAATGTGCATATTGCATACCGCTCGGATGGGAAGGCTACTGGTGAAGCCTTTGTTGAGTTCCCCACAGCTGAAGTTGCTAAGACAGCCATGTGCAAGGATAAGATGACCATCGGGACGAGGTACGTGGAGCTGTTCCCATCAACCCCAGAGGAAGCGAGCAGGGCGAGATCCCGAGGCAGGCATTGATGAAACGAATGGCTCAAATGATCTCTGGTTGCATGTGCCTGCGATCAAGTTTAGTTTTCACTTCGCATGCTTACCTGTATCGCTGTTAGATTGTGTTTGTCGTATCGTCATGCTGCTACTGCTCGTGTATTTGAGTATTTGACTTCTTATATGCGAACTGAACTGTAACAATTTTTCTTTGTTGGATGCACATGTTTGGCATAATCATTTATGGATTTTTGCTTCATTTTAGTTTATCCATGTTCTGTTTCTTTCGTTGATGCTGGGGATGTGATGGAATTTTCGTGTTGCAGTGAAGTAGCTTGGTGAGCTCAATTTGCCCCCAGAAGCTTGTGGTAATTGTGTTGCCGCTACATTGTAATAGAACGAAATGAGATCGTCCCCACTGACGCTTCAAAAAAATGTTAACCACTGGGGTTGTTGATTTACTGGCAATGCATATCGAAGGCTGAAATTCCTTATAAAAGAAAGGCTCAAACTTGAGCATTTGCAAGTGTAGATTTCCAAACGTTGGTGCTGACGAATATCAACTGACAGTGCATATACAAGGCTCAAGTTTTGAGCATTTGCAAGTGTAGATTTTAAGTTCATTAGCAGCGCTTGTCATTGTGGCTATCTTCACACCTTGTTTTCTTATCCAACTGTTCTATAACGGTGTTCAGAGACTTGTTCTGCTCCAATGCATGTTGCAATCTCTCTCTAATCGTTCTACACTGCATGTTACAATCTATCTCAAATCTGTTTATCCAATTGTTGTTTGTAAACTACCGATTACAGAAATTACTAAATACGCATATACGTGAGATGAAACAATGTAATAAAAAAAGAAATGGAAGTTATAATGTTGTGTGTCCAATTGTTGTTTGTAAACTACTGATTACAGAAATTACTAAACATACACGTACCTGAGATGAAAGAATGTTCTCCCTCTGTCCCGAATAAAAGTCATTCGAACTTTATTGAGAGTCAAAGTGTCAGTACAGAAAGTGACTAACTAGTGAATATTTATAGTTTTGCTGTACGTTGTGATCGGAGGTGGCCTAGCACTCGACGCAGGATTTATACTGGTTCAGGCAACGTGCCCTACGTCCAGTTTGGATCGGTCGGTGACTTTATTCTTGAGCCCAGGTACTCGAAGTCTGTAGTGGGGTTACGAACGAGAAGGAGAAAGGTGGGGTGTACGAGAGGCCCGGTCGGGTCTGACTGAAAGGGCCGAGGGCGGCCGGAACTTCGCTACGAGCTAGGTGTTCAAGCGTGTGTTTGAGGGGTTGCGAGCTATCGATCTAGTGAATCTCGACTCGAAGAAGTCGATCTCCTTTGTTGGAGGAAGCGCATCCCCTTTTATAGATGAAGGGGATGGCTTTATATGTGAGAGGGAGAGAGTACGGACATTACTAAGCCTTGTTATCCACGCCGATGAGGATAGTGACGATGGTAGGCGCCCACAATACTTGTTGATGTCACTATGTAGAATGTCAGGTGCACATGAGAGGTTGCGTTGGCTTCTTCAGGAAGGGTGGATGTCGGTACCTACAAAATACTGTTGATATGTGAGGAGCCCTACCACGTGTACTAGGTATGGTGAATCCTGGTGCCTATAGTGCCATCGATGCCCAGAGGCATGTGGGGGGCTTTTTGCCGTACGGGAGTCCAACGGCGCCTACAATACTGTAGACACAAATATCGGCGCCTACAATACTGTTTGTGTCAGGGTGGTTGTGGAGCACTGTTCCCGTAGGCGTGCAGGGTATGGTCCCTGGTATCGTGGTTTGACTTGTCCGCTGCCTTCTCCGTTCGCCTTAGGTCCCTTCCGAGCGGGCGTCCCCGATCGGATGGCCCCAGTCGGTCCTGGCCGTGCCAGTCGGAGAAGAACGGCAAGCAGGCTTCCTACGGGTCCCCGGTCGGAGATGCGGAGTCGGAGTAGGAAGCAGCGTCTTGGGCCAGGCCTTCCGATCAGAGAGACCGCCTGGAGGCGACCAGTGTCCGAAGCGGGTGCTCCGGTCAGAGAGGAGGGCCGAAGAAGTTGACGAGCGGGTGCTTGTCCCTTTGGGTAGACCTTCCGGTCGGCGACCGGACTGTCCTTCTGGCCCGTTGTGTTTTTAGACTCTTGGGCCGGCCCATGGACTACATGCTGTTTTTCTTGGGCCGAGCCCTGGCGTGGAAGCCAGTCCCCGAGGGACCTCGGGTTTATGAACCCGACAGGAGCCCCCGAGCCCCCGGGTAATTTGAACAGAATCATCCGGGGGATTTTTGTCTTGCCGGTGGGTGTAGCCCCTGAGCCCCTGGGCGTTTCGGACAGAACCAACTGGGGGGGTTTTCTGCGTTGTCAGCGGGGGAGGTTTTTTTGTTGTGTCGGCGGGTGCGCATGAGCGCACCCACGGGTGTAGGCCCCGAGCCCCCGGGCGGTTCGGGCAGAGCCGTCTGGGGGGTGTTGTTTCAGCGGGCGTGCGTGTTTTTAGTTTGAGACGGAATTTTGTTAACTGCGGCGTCGTTGCACGGTCGAGGTGGTTTTTTAGGCGCGGGGATGAGACAGAACTTACTGATCCCGGCGTCGGTGCGCGCCGTGGATCGGGTGAGAAGGTTAGTTCGGGACAAAACCCTGGCGTCGGTGCGCGCCACGGATGGAGATAGCTCGGTTCGGATGCGACAAAGCTCACCGATCTTTGGCATCGATGCGCGCCGTGGAATCGGTCGAGGTGGAGTCGCGAGTGGACCCAAGCGTCGGTGCGCGCCGTGGATCAAAAGTTAGTTTAGTTAGTTTAGGAATCGATCGAGCCGGAGCTCTATAACTGTATGACACCGTCGGAAGTGAAGCCGTTACGCGAGTTCGGAGTCGCGGTCCCAGGGTTCATTGGAGCGCAGTCGGAAGTGAAGCCGTTACGCGAGTTCGGAGTCACGGTCCCAGGGTTTATTGGAGCGCAGTCGGAAGTGAAGCCGTTACGCGAGTTCGGAGTCGCGGTCCCAGGGTTTATTGGAGCACAGTCGGAAGTGAAGCCAAAGCGTAGTTAGTTGGTTAAAGATCGGACGAGACGATGCTTGCGGATCCTGGCGTCGGTGCGTGCCGCGGGATCAGGCGAGTCGGAGTCGTGGATCTGGCGAGTTCGAGGTCGCTGTCCTTGGCGTTTGTCTTGAGCCCCCGAGCCCTATCGGGCCTTCGTGGGGGTCGATGTGAGTTTATGTGGGTTACCCCATCCTCGGTTCCTCACAAACCAGAGGGGCTAAGTTTCGTCGCCTGTCCCGATCGCTCGGGCTCGAAGACTAGCTCGGTGAGTTCGCTAACGGGTGTGATCAAGTGGAATCCGGGTCCGTCGTTCGTGATGGGGTCGGCATAGCCCTCTTATGACATTCCACTACTCCTTTACCTGCAACCCGACAGATGCCTAGGTCATTCTAGAGACCGACCCGGGTGGCCTAACGGCCTCCCCTCGATGGAGATTCTGTGGGCCTGGCAAGAGGTTCAAGATCGAACGAGAAGGTTGAGATGACCCGGTCTGCCGGACCGGGCTAGGGCCGCACGGTGCTCATCTACGGTTTTCTCCCCTGGATCTGTTGGTTGCCCATGTCGAATGAGGCAACCGCCGTTTCGTGACGCAACACGGAGCGTTCTGGTGCATTTCGCTGCACGTGCGATGCTTAGTTCCCGAGCCCTCGGGCAGTTCAGGGCCCGAATCGTCCGGGAGGCGCAGGCGTAAGAAATGAATGCGCGTATGGATGTATGAATAATTTATAAAGAAATAGAGGGGGTTTTGGTAATGTTTACCTTGACGACTAGAGTGACGGGGCTCAGAGAGCTTCAGTCGGAAATGTCCGACCGGGACCCATGCTCGTCGTTCGTGACGGAGTCGGCATGGCCTACATGGGGCGTCCCTTTGCTTCCTACCTGTGTCTCGGTGTTTATCCTGAGCGATTTGATCGGCTCGGGGGATCGGTTGGTCTCCCGATGGAGATTTCATTTTTGGTCTCCCTGCCTGCTCGTGGTGACGCTTCGGTTTTCGTGCCTGGTCGTGCGATAGTGGTGGGGCATACCTCGGCCATGCTTCGTTTTACCAAGGGGCATTCCATCTAACCCGACGTTGCTCCATCGGTCAGTGCACGTCCCTTTGGTCAGGGCGTGTCCCATCGTTTCCTATTCGCATTGAATGGGGGTAGGTGGAGAGTTTTGTGCTCTAATCGTTTACCTTTTTTCTTTAAATAGGGGGGAGGAAGAGGGCTTTCCGTCGCAGTCCTTTGCCTGTTCTCCAACTATTGTCTCTCTTCCTTCTTCTTTCTCACCGAGAGTGCCTGTATGCCACGGCGGTTCCTAAGTGAGAGAGAGGGTGAGCGAGGGGGAGGACTTATGGATCCTTTTGTGAACCCGGAGCGTGATGTCGGACTGAAGGCTGCCGTGGGTGATGCTGGATTTGATCTGCAAGGCTTTCTTCAGGATGGAGCCGTGTGTGGATTTTCTCCGGAGGATCTTCTCTGGGCGAGCTTTATTGGAGGAGAGGTCACTCAGGATTGTGAGGGTTCCGTGCCTGCAGCTGCTAAAGTCAGCCAGTTCATAAAGTTTGATAAGATTTCTTCCAGCCATGGTGGCCATACCTTGGTAGCAGCGCCCCTACCCAGGAGCTGCCTCAACTGCATGAGAAGGTCGGGTGCTCCATGTTCTTCTGCTGAGCATCTATGGGTGCGACGCCCTTGAGGTACCCGTTGCGTTTTGCCGGAGTTTTGAAGGAGCAGAACCAAGCGATTTCTAGCGTTCAGGCGAAGTCATCGAGTGGCCGCAGTAGTATTTGTAGTAGTAGAAAATGTAATAGTTAAGTTTTTGTGGGTAAGTCCCTATGTAAATAGTTTCTTTGTATCAATGAATACAACCGTACTGCCCCTGTGACGGAACCACCATATTTGTTTCCTTGTTTTTGTCCTAGCATAACCTTTGTTTTTATCCTTTCTTTCTCGTACCTGCCTGTTTGTCTCGTAGGGTGCGATCTTGGGAGCCCGGGGCATGGCCCGCGAGGCTC